CACATTTCACAATTCCCTCCTCCATTTTTCCAGGAGGCTAAATAAAAACCAAGACTTTTAAAAATAATCTGCTGTACATGTAGTGACATCTAATGGAAAAAATTCAACTGACCGGCTATGGATTCTGAAGCAGAACCAACCCAGTTAAGTAGACCATTTTACAATATTTACCACATAAGCACCAATGTCTTGGTTGCTTAGGGATGACGCAAGTGATACTTAGAAATAATAGGAAGAAGTTAAGAGAAGAAACACTTGTGTTGAGTTTAATGAAAAATGTTTCATGGTGAGATGCAGTTAACCTCCAAGGGAGTGAAGGAAACCCCAGTAATTGACACTTCTGCACACAGATAACACATTAGAAAATGTACTGGTCACAGAAATCCTCTGTTACATATTAACTAGATGACCGGTCAGGTATTTTGCAGCTCTAACACCATGATCCCAGATCACATATTTTTCCCTGTTAAGAAGAAAAAGCAGCTAGGCTAATACAACTTTAGGATTATCCTATCAATTTAAGCACCATACTTAAGCCTACACATTTATTTTTTCTGCTCTACTGCTACAAGTAGATCTCCAAGTCTTCAGCAAATGGAAGAGATTAAAAATGGGAAGAGGGGGCGAGGAATCTGCTTGCTTTTTGTGCTTTATTTACTCTGTTGACAATTTAGTAATTCACAGCACTTGTGTAATGCCAGAGCCAGTTGTTACGCCCAAGGAAAGGGCTGCCACCCAGGAGGACCTAGACAGGCTGGAGGAATGTGCTGACAGGAACCTTACGAAAGTCAACAGGGACAAGTGCAAGGTCCTGTACCTGGGAAGGACAAGCCCCTTGCAGGGGTGCGGCTGGAGCTTGACTGGGAGGACCAGCTTTGCTGAAAAGCCCCTGGGTATCTTGGTAGACAGGGAGCTAAGCATGAGCCAAGAAAGTGCCCTGGCAGCAAAGAGGGCCAACAACATCCTGAGCTGTGTGACCAGGAGCAGAGCCAGGAGGTGGAGAGAAATTATTATCCCCTCCTTACTTGGCACTCATTAGACTCCATCTAGAGTATTATGTCCAGTTTTGGATGCCCCAGTAAAGGAAAGATGATGATAAACTGGAGTGAGTTTAGCAGAGGGCTCCTCTAGATGGTCAGGGCTTGAGCACTCATCCTGGGGGGGCTGAAGGATAGTTCAGCCCAGGGCTGAGACACCTAACAGCAGCCCCCCAGCAACTAAAAGGAGGGAGGTCAGCCAGGAGATGAAGCTGGACTCTTCACAGTGGGGAATGGCGGGCAGATGAGACAAAATGGTCAGGAGTTAAAACATGAGAAGTTTCGACTGGATCTAGAGAAAATCCTCTTCCCAGTGAAAACAGTCAGGCACTAGATCTGGTGGTCCAGAGAGGTTGTACAGTTCCTGTCCTTGGAGGTTTTCAAGACCCAACTGGATAAAGTCCTGAACTCTCAGCTGAGCCTGCTGCGGAGAAGGTTGGACGAGAGACTTCTTGAGGTTCCTTCCAGCCTGAATGACCCTGTGATCCTAGACTGCCAGCTTCATTGTGCTGTTGATAGTCTGGTGTACTACTGGGTCCAAAATATCACTGGTCAAATTCAAAACATTCCCTTTTAAGAAGGTTC